CAAGTTGCAACTCCATCCCCCCCCCCCCCCCCCCCCCCCCCCCTCACTCACTCCCAACCCCACCCTGACCCCAACCCCAACCCCCCTTCCTCCCACTCCCCAAGCCAGCGCATCCCGTTTCTGCCAGCTCCTCAACGCTTCGTCCTCTTGAAGATCTCCCTTGGCTAAATCGGTTTGTTTGTTACCGTTCCAAGTTTACTCAGCAAGCTTGGTTGTCCAGTTTCATTTTACGCCTTTTTACCCTAGGGTTTCTTAGCTTGGTGGAGCTCAAATTTGAGCAGCGCACACTGCTTAGCATTTCGCACGCCGCTGGGTTTTCCTCATAATGGTCGACATCGTAGGGCGTTTCCAGAGTGACCTTGGCGCGGCGGGTCCGTGCTTAACTCTCGGGCCACCCGCGCGCTGGCTCGAGCCGCAGTCCCATCATGTTACGGAATTAGAACTCGGCAAACGCAAGGCGCGAGAAGTGCCGTCGCCGTCGAAATCTCGACCCCAGGAAACAACATCGTCGGAAGAGTGAGTCCCGTGAAGCGGCAATTGTGGCTCCAAGTCGCTGAGACTCCCAATCATCCTTAAATTTCTCCCGTTTCGCCCCTAACGTCGGCTGACTTTCCCTGTGCGCAGTGTGAGACTTCTGAGTCCGATGATCAAGAGCCCAGACTCTTCGAGACCTGCTCGGAAAAGGTGTGTCTCTTCGGAGATTCTCGATTGGTTCCGTGCCTTTTGGGGTTGCGAATCTAGGGACGCGGCGACGGAATGATTGCTTACGACTCGATTTCCGTGTCATGTTTGTTCACAGGTCGCGTGATGATCTGGAGGAAGCGGGACTCAGCAAAGCACAACGAGAAAAACTGCGTCGAGACCGACTTAATGACATGTACAAGCCGTGACGCGGCTCGGAGTTGCTGTAATTAAGTCTCACGAGTTCTTGCACTTCAAGTTGCGTTGCGCCTTTTGGACGTCCATTGATTATCACGGCAGTTTTGTCTCATCAACGTTTTGTTGATTAATTGAATTATATTATCTACGTATTTTCCCTCTCCCTTTCAGGTTTCTTGAGCTGGGCCGCGAGCTGGATCCCACCACGACCCCTCGGACGGACAAGGGCATAATATTGAACAACGCTGTTCGTGTGCTCACCGGCCTCAAGGCGGAGGCTGCAGCTCTCAAGCAGGGCACGTGGCAGCTCCAGGAGCAGATCAAGGAGCTGAAGGTGAAAACAAATATACAGAATGAGAATCCTATATATATATGTATATATATGTATATATATATATATTCTTTTCACTCTCTGGATCTCCGTTTGCATCTTTTCTGCACGTATCTCATACAACCATTTCAATTCTCTGTTTTCTCAGGCTGAGAAGTCTGAACTTCGGGATGAGAAGGCTCGCCTCAAGGCACAGCGGGAGTGCCTCCAATCGCAACTTCAAGCCCTGCCGCTTCCTACGCCAGATCGATTTTCGTCTCCGGCTGCTGCTGCCGCTGCAGCTGCCGCAGCCCTTGCTGCACTTCAGGCTGCAGCAGCAGGGCCCATGTCCAACCATTTCGCTGTGAAGCCTCCAGCGTCCATACCTGCTGATGCAGCACAGGGTGCGCCTGGTTCTGCATGGCAATGGCTTCAGTCTGCGTCAGGAGATGTTAAGAGAGACCAGATCCTTAGGGCTCCAGTGGCATGACTGCACTGGCTCACCTTTTTCCATCCCCTCAGTTGTGGGATGGTTGCTTACTAGCCTTGGAAGGCAAAGCAAGGCATTTATGGTTCTGTAGGGAAAACTAGGGCCCTGTTCTGTTGGCGGATAAGGGGTGCGCAGCCCTAAAGCTGAACATTCGTGGAATGCGCATACCAAGGCTTAAAGCCCACGTCGAGCCTCCCAAATCGTTATTGTCTCCCGAACCTCTGGTGCGGGAGTTGTGCGCGCATTACTCATGCGTGCGCAAGAACGCTGAACTCTTTGCGCTGAGAAATTTCCACGAGCTTGGTTTCACAGACAAATTTCCCGCATGGCCTGTGCGAGCCCTAAGCGCTCGTCAAGGGGTGATTGAAAAGGCGCACAACAAATAACGGGCAGATAGAAACACCCGTTTCGGGGTATTTTTTCGGTGGAATACTTGCCCAAAAAACAATCCAACGGCTATCCAGTAAGACTGCCACATCCAGTGCATCGGTTCGCGAGATTTTGACTTTGAAAGAGTGCCAGGGCAGTGTGTAACAACATTTTTTCGGGCACCCGGGAGAAAAAAAATCGTAACTTTGTCGATTACCAAACCCTTCGACGAGGCTGCAGGCCCTCTCTTCCTTTCGAGGAAAACGCTGTCCGCAGTAGCTTTGCGGCAGCTGCGAATGGCCAGTGCGCCAACAGAACAGGGCCTAGGGGCAACTGGTCAATCTGAGACAGCTGCCCTATGTGCATGGGGTTTGTCTGCGCTTGTTTGGCTGCTGTGCTACAGTGACTGCACGAGAGGAGGCTGCTGGTCAGCCCGATTTTTGCACGTGGAGCTCCTTCGAGCCGTGGAAGGTGGCGATAAGGCTGGTCGAAATCATCCAATCAATGTGGTTCAGGGTTTCGCTTTCATGCGCTCCCTGGACCATTTCCATGAGAAGGGGGCGTGGCTTGGAGCGCTTACGGCGTTTCTGCCTGACACGCGTGTCCCTCACATCTACACCAACCGCCATCGCGTGCCAGGGACGGTTGGACGACGTTCACGACGTTCGCGAGCAAATGGATCATTTTGAACAGTTTCCATGAGAATCGCTCTCACCCAATCAATAAGGTACTAGTCGAAGAGCCGCGCCGCTGCATGGCTCTGTATTTGTTCCTCAATTGAAGCATGGTTCATCCACACGTCAATATCCGGATCCGCGAAAGCAACCAGTCGCCACACACGCTCCCGCAACGAATCCATTTTTGCGCAATTGTGCACCTACGATCCGGAGGTGTGGTTGGGGATGGAAGCCTCGGATGAGACCTCAGGTCAGTCGTACACGTGCACCAAGGACGTCCTTGGTCTGGAAACCAACACAAGTCGAACGCACTTGCCTTGGTCGAGAGAAGCTCATCAAACCACACCACGTTTGGTTTGGTTTTGGCCATCGCCAGAGAAGATTCTTGGCTTGGACGCAAAGGTGTTGCTGTGGTATGGATTCCGAGCGACCGCGTGCGGCTCCACCACTGGTTTGTGGCCCCGAACCACATGAAGTCATCAGATGGCAAAAACCTTCCCGCTGGTGCTCCCTCTCCCCAACCCAACCCCCCACTCCCAAATCCCTTTGAACTGTGTGCAAGGTATCTATTATGCCAGGGACTCGCGATCAGTAATTTGGACGCTCGACGATTTGCAGTTGCTCCCTTTACTCCCTCCTCGAGATACACCTGTTATCCTGTTGACTAAACCTCCAACCGCAGTATCATTTTGCCTCTTTCTAATTCACTGAAAGCCGGTTCTCCATTCCTGCCTTCAACGTCCCGCAATGGATTCGTCTCGTTCATTGAAACTAGAAGCAGACTGTGCGCTCTCGCTAGGTCCCATGTGGCAATCCCAGGACAGTCTTGAGAGAAGGTCAGCATATATGCAGACACATGTCCAGATAATCTGGTCCCATATTCGGCCTTGTTTTGATGCCTGTGACTCCAAATGACTCACTGTCATCTTCTCCTCCTGCTGCGTTATTCGTCCCCGTTGGCACAGCAGTCCAGACTCCGCTGCTAGACAACACTCGAACGACGGCTTACCGTCTTCTAGAAAACGGTAAGTTTTTTTCCGCTGCTGCTTCGCTTCGTGAGCACCCGAAAACTGTATTTAGTTTGGGGGTTACACTGGACTTATTTGCCTCGTGTCGCTTTTTCTCGTCCAGGGTTCGGGAAGACGGTGCTTGCGAGAGAGAAATTACCTTCAGCAAAGCCACCAGGGAGAAGTTGCGACGCGATAGATTAAACGACAGGTACCATTTATCGATCCTTCCTCCAATCACTTCGCGCTCCATCTCTGTTCCTCTAATCGCTTAGCACGCGGCCGTCCTTCGTTCCACAACTTCATTTCCGCATTCGTCGGCGGTAGTCCTTCGGCAGCGTGTTGAAAGACGTCGCATGTTTGTCTTCGCCACCCTCCAGATTTCAAGAACTTGCAAGGGAGCTTGGTCCGTCGGCAACCGTCAAGGTGGATAAGACAGTCCTCCTGACGGAAGCTGTTCGGTTGCTTGTTCGGTTGAGGACTGAAGCCGCAAGCCTGTTGACGAGTAACCAGCAGCTTCAGGATCAGATTAAGGAGCTCAAGGTACCGATTGTCAGCTCATACGTTTGTCGTCCTCGAAATTGCACCATTTGGTTTTTGCTCACCAGAAGTTCGGTTTGCACTCTATGATTCTCCATGGTTTTCACTGAGGTGTAACGGCTCTTTTTCTTTCCCATGTGCAGGTTGAGAAATCCGAACTGAGAGAGGAGAAAGCTCGGCTGAAAGCTGAGCGGGATCGTTTGCGGATACATCTCGATACCCTCACAGCTCCCACTAGGACCAACGCTGTCTCAGGCCAGTCGTCACCTGCGCTTTTGCAGTCGCAAACAGCGTCGCATGCATCGTACGCTGCGCACCAAACGCCTGTCAAGGTTGAAGCTGTGCGGTTGCCTCACCACCAGCATCTAACTATGTGGCAATTCCTCCCGTCTGGCGTGGCTGATGCATCTTCAGATCGGTTTTTGACGCCACCTGTGGCGTAATAGCGCCTTGACTGTATTTTTTTTACCTCGGTTTGAATAAGCTGAGATGGTTTATCTGTGCATTTATGGTATAGTTGATGTTATGGGACTAGAACTTGGTACCTACCGTATCCCTTCTTTGCATAGAGTAAACATTATCGACAGCAGGTGAGAATTGACAAGCTAAGAAATCTGATGTGGAAGCCAAGATGGATTTCACTACCGATAGTTATCTGTCCACCACAATTCTCTGTACTAAAGAATGATGGAGTCCAAATAACCGTTCACTACCCCACCAAACCAACTTTATGAAACAGCAGTCACAACATTGTTCTTTTCACTCCCCTGCCCTACCCGCGCTGCAGAGGCACCTGCAGCACCTAACCCCTCCCCTCCATGACCACCGCCATTGCCAACTGCTAACACCCCTCCCCCCAGCCCTCCCTGCTGCAACTGCTGCTGACCTACAGGCACTAGCGCACCATTCACATCAGCACCAGGCCCACCGGCCAATGGCATTGCAGCTCCAGAAGGATCAACGGCTGCGGTTGCATCTGGTGGCATGTGCGGTGGAAGCGCGTGGGGGCCAAGTCCCGAGGATGGCAGAGGGAGGGCGGCGGCAGGGTGGAGACCTGAGGGGGCTGGGGAGTGTGTGGACGGACCACCTGGTGCTGCCTTGCCGTTCAGCCTCTCCTGAAAGACGGAATGGGATGGAACGGGATTGAGTTGGTTGACGTGAGATGGAGCATGGGTGCTGAGTGGATGAGGCGGATGAAGAGGCTGAGTTGAGTGGATGAGGCGGATGAAGAGGCTGAGTTGAGTGGATGAGGCGGATGAAGAGGCTGAGTTGAGTGGATGAGTGGACGGGTGAATGAATGGATGAATGCAGGGCACAGATGGAGGGGATGGAGAACTGGTGTCAATGAATGGATGGGATGACTGGGGTAGATGGGCATGGGAAGAAGCAGAGAAGGAAGAAGAGCAACATCAGCCATTACAGCAGATCAAACAACAGCGCCACCCACCCACCTGCAGTAGGGCGTTCTGCTGCGCCATCTTGTGGCACTCCTCCTGCATGCGCTGCAGCTCCACTCGAATCGTCTGATTCTCGTCCGTCAGTGCCCGCACCCGCCCCATCAGATCCTCACACTCCGCCTGGATTGGGAGGGGGGGAGTTGTGGTGAAGAGATTGGCATGCGCGCAAGGCAGAGATAAGAGGCAGAGGTTGAGAAATTATTAGTCGAGGGTAAGGGGAGAGGGCATTAGCTCCACCTCGATCGTTTGATTCTCGTCCGCCAGCGCCCGCACCCCCCGCATGAAACCCTCACACTCCACCTGGAGGGGAAGAAAAATGTACTCTTAGAGGAGAAGATATTTGTATGGGGAAAACTTATTTGTAAGAGGAAAACATAATTGTAAGAGGAAAATATGTTTGTAAGAGGAAACTATATTGCAAGAGGAAAATATATTGTAAGAGGAGATTTTTTTTTTGAAAGGAGAAGATACTTGTAAGAGAAGAAAATTGTAGGGGGAGAAGTTTTTAGTGGGAGCATGCACACACCCGCCCCATAAGACCCTCACACTCCGGCAACCTCCCATTCCCCCTTGGCCACACACCTGCTTGCGCAGCCGCGACCGCCTAGCCGACTCTCTGTTGGACTGCTTGCGCCGCTGCTTCTTCACCTCCCGGTCGTCCTGCTTGCACAGAGGGAGAATGGGGGAAAGAGGCGGGGAGGCGGGCGGGGGAATAACAGCATATGATGTGAGGATGCAAAGAAGAGGGGGTAAAGGTTTATCAAGTACATTCACCTGATGGGTATTTTGCACCTTCGGCAAACATGCCATGCCATCAGGGAAAAGAGACGAACAGAGGGCCGGAGGTGAGAAAACACTCACGGAGTGCACCCATAGGTCTGATGACATTCCCATCCCTCCCCCTCCTCCCGCCACCGCACCCCGCTTCTTCCCCGCCCCTGCTCCCCCCGCGCCCCCTGCACCACCACCGCCGCTACTGCCACCAGCAGCACCACCCATCCCTCCGCCAACCATCCCCCCAGCTCCCCCTGCTGCCCCAGCCGCCCCCCCGCCCGCCCCCACGCCTGGAATCCCCCCCATTCCGCCTGCCATGCCCACTCCCTGCCCCCCCGGCCCCATCTGCCCTGCTGCTGCAGCCGCTGCTGCTGCTTGGTGCATTTGTGCCTGAGCTTGAGCTTGGGCTTGGGCTTGCGCGGACCAGTAGTCTATAGGTACCATTCCCCCCATCTCCCCCGCTTCCCCTGCCTTTCCGCCAGCGCCCCCCCCCTTCCTGCAAAAGGGGAAGGGCCGTGGGGGAATGAAATGGGAGGAGGGGAGGAGGAGAAGGGGAAGGAAGGGTAGAGAAGAAGAAAGAGGAAAGAAGAGTTACCCACTGCACAAGAGGCCTTGGTGCATTTGTGCCTGAGCTTGAGCTTGGGCTTGGGCTTGCGCGGACCAGTAGTCTATAGGTACCATTCCCCCCATCTCCCCCGCTTCCCCTGCCTTTCCGCCAGCGCCCCCCCCTTCCTGCAAAAGGGGAAGGGCCGTGGGGGAATGAAATGGGAGGAGGGGAGGAGAAGAAGGGGAAGGAAGGGTAGAGAAGAAGAAAGAGGAAAGAAGAGTTACCCACTGCACAAGAGGCCTTGGTGCATTTGTGCCTGAGCTTGAGCTTGGGCTTGGGCTTGCGCGGACCAGTAGTCTATAGGTACCATTCCCCCCATCTCCCCTGCTTCCCCTGCCTTTCCGCCAGCGCCCCCCCCTTCCTGCAGAGGGGGGAGGTGCGGTGGGGAAGAAGGGGCGGGTGAAGAACAAGGGATAAGTTGACTTTTGAGTCGACTCAAAAGTCAACTCGGGTGAGAACAAGGGATAAGTTGACTTTTGAGTCCTCAAGACACACCTCAATGCTTTTGAGGCGCCTCAAGACACACCTCAATGCTTTTGAGGCGCCTCAAGACACACCTCAATGCTTTTGAGGCGCCTCAAGACACACCTCAATGCTTTTGAGGCGCCTCAAGACACACCTCAATGCTTTTGAGGCGCCTCAAGACACACCTCAATGCTTTTGAGGCGCCTCAAGACACACCTCAATGCTTTTGAGGCGCCTCAAGATAAGGAACAAGAGTTCCCACTGCACTGCACACGAGGGCTTCGATGGGTACTTCCCCTTCCCACCTCTCTCCCCCCGTTTCGCATCCTCAAAGCATAATCATGACATCATCATGACATCATCATGGCACCATGATGACACCATCATAATCCTTAGCATCTCGCTCTCCTCGTTGTGATCCGTGCCCACATCCTCCTCCGAATCACCCTCCCCCCATCACCGCACCGCACCACCTTCATTACACGCATGATAATGCCAAGTCATGACATCAACACAAACAGCAGCAGCTCGTTCACCTCGTTATGGTCTGTGCCCTCGTCCTCCTCCGAATCATCCTCCCCTCCGCTGCAACACCACCTTCATTACATGCAATGCATGATACCGCCAAGTGCTGTCATCCCACACACCAGCACCAGCAGCTCGCTCACCTCGTTATGGTCTGTGCCCTCGTCCTCCTCCGAATCATCCTCCCCTCCACTGCAACACCACCACGCAACAGGATTTGGATCGGCACACCAGTGATTGACGGAACAGCAGTCGGTGAAGCAGCAGGTGTTGAAAAAACGGGGTAAAGAGGAATGATGGGAATGGGATGAGAACGGGGTGAGCGTGTGTGAGTGGAAGGGTGGGCGAGTGAGAGTGAGCGTGAGGGGGTACGTGACAACATGCATGGTTCAAGATAAAAGAATGCCTTCAAGATAAAAGAATGCCTTCAAGATAAAAGAATGCCTTCAAGAATGCCTTCAAGATAAAGAATGCCTTCAAGATAAAAGAATGCCTTCAAGATAAAAGAATGCCTTCAAGATAAAAGAATGCCTTCAAGATTTCCTTGTAAAGCATATGAAAACTCGTAAAAAACATCATGACCGCGTGCAACAGGAAAGATGCTACCAGGATCTCCTTCACACCACCCCCCCACCCAGCCACTCACCCCCCCACCCACCCACTCACCCCTCCACCCAGCCACTCACCCCCCCACCCAACCACTCACCCCTCCACCCACCCACTCACCCCCCCACCCACCCACTCACCCCTCCACCCACCCACTCACCCCCCCACCACCCACTCACCCCCCCACCACCCACTCACCCCCCCGCCACCCACTCACCCCCCCACCCACCCCCCCTCCCCAACCCCCATCCAACCACCCATCACCCCTCCTCAACCCCCCACCCACCCATCCACACCCCTCCCCACCCCCGCACACACCTGGTGGAAAACACACCATTCCCTGACTGCAGCTTTGACCCCTCTGACGTCATCCCTCCCCCCGGTCCCATCCCCCCTCCGCCTCCGCCTCCCCCTCCCCCTCCCGCTGGAACAATAGCCCCCCCATCCCCCGCCTTCGCGCCACCCCCGTCTTCCCCCACTCCCCCGCCTCCGCCTCCCCCTCCCCCTGCGCCTGCTGCTGCGGCCGCCCCTCCCCCATCCCTCTGCTCCGCATGCATTCCCACTGGCGCCATGCCTGGCGCCATGGCCTGGCGGAGGGGGTAAGGGGACGATTGGGGAGAAGGGGGAACACGGGGGGGGGGTAAGGGAGAGGGGGAAGGGAAGGCGGGCATAAAGAATGAAGGCACGTCACTGGTCCCCCTTTCTCTGCTCCGCATGCATTGCCACTGGCGGCATGCCTGACGCCATGGCCTGGGGAGAGGAGACACGGGGCTATTGGGGGAGGGAAAGGGGTCAGTGGGAGGGAGAAGGGAGGTGGGGGGAGGGAGGGAGAAGGGAGGCGGGCACAATATAGGACGGCGCATCACTCGCCCCCCTCCCTCTTCTCCGCATGCATTGCCACTGGCTGGCTGGCAGCACGCCTGGCGCCATGGCCTGGCGAGGAAGGGAGTCGTGTCACAGAGACAGAACCATGACAGTGATCGTTACATGCAAATCGGGTTACCACACATGCTGATAGGGTTACCAATAACAAACTAGGTCCGACTCCATAGTTGCTACATTCCACACTTGTACTTGTCCATGCATGCTCATACATGCTACACTTCATGATTGTTACACTCCAAAACTGATACTCTCCATGATTTTTACAATTTCAAATTGTTGCACTCCATACACATTACACATCATAATTGCTACACTCCATACACTTTACACTTCATAGTTGCTACACTCCATACACATTACACTTCATAATTGTTACACTCCATACACATTACACATCATAATTGCTACACCCCATACACATTACACTTCATAATTGTTACACTCCACACACATTACACTTCATAATTGTTACACTCCATACACTTTACACTTCAAAACTGTTACACTCCATACACATTACACTTCAAAATTGTTACACTCCATACACATTACACTTCATAATTGTTACACTCCATACACTTTACACTTCAAAACTGTTACACTCCATACACATTACACTTCAAAATTGTTACACTCCATACACATTACACTTCATAATTGTTACACTCCATACACATTACACTTCATAATTGTTACACTCCATACACATTACACTTCAAAATTGTTACACTCCATACACATTACACTTCATAATTGTTACACTCCATACACATTGCACTTCATTATTGTTACACTCCATACACATTACACTTCATTATTGTTACACTCCATGCACATGGCTTGCCATACATACCGAGGATGCATCCATTGATGCTGTGGTCGCTGATGGCATGCCGTACCCCATATAAGGCTGCGCGCCCTGCTTTTAACGGGATAGATGGGGCAGAGGCACGGAACGGGAACGACAAGTGGGAGAATAAGACTGGGAAAAGGGGCAAGGAGGAAAGTTAGGAAGAAGTTACAGGGGAGGTGAGGGGAATGTAAAGAAGGAAATTATGGAAGGGGGGAAAGGGGGAAAGAAGGTAGGGAAAGGAAAGCAGGGCGTAATGAGGCTGCTTGTAACGGACAAGCTTTCACCATGTCAGCACACTTTCTAAGGCCGCAACGCTTCTTACCAGGTACAAAGCTTTTTGTACCGAAACAGCTCTTACCAGGTACAAGGCTTCTTGTACTGAATCATCTCTTACCGGGTACATGGCAGCAGGGGGGTACATGGGGGCGCCATAAGGGGGAGGCTGGCCGTACGGCGTCATCATGTGCTGCTCGGGGGGAGGGGGGGCGGAGGAGAGCGGGAGGGGGAAGGGGGTAGGGGGAGCGGAGGAGAGGAGGAAGGGGGAAACGGGAAGATGATGGGAGGCAGGCCGTAGGGCGTCATCATGTGCTGCTCGGGGGGAGGGGGGAATGGGGGAAGCGGAGGGGGAGGGAAGGTAGGGGGCTGGTTCGGAATCATGGTTTGCACGGGGAAGGGGGTGCGGTGGGGAGCGCATGGAAGGGGAGCAGGGAGGTGAGCCGTGAGGCTATCATGTGCTGAGCGGAGAAAGCAGGGTGGGGGGGAGCGGAAGAGGGTAAGGGGAGGAGGGGAGGGGGAGGGGGGGGGGGGGAGGGTGGGGGGGGTGGGGAGTAGATGGGTGGAGGGAGGGGAAGGTGATGAGCGGGTGGCCGTACGGTGCCATGGGGGAAGGGGGGATCGAAAAGTTGGAGAGGGTGAAGGGGGAGAGGATCGCAAAGGGGGAGTGGAGAGGCAAAGGGGAAGCGATGAGGCAAAGGGGGAGCGGCGAGGCAAAGGGGGAGAGGGGAGGGTGGAGGGGGAGGGGAAGGGAGAGATAGACTGTGTGGAACGGGCGAGGGAACAGCAAGGGGTGAGGCTGTGAGTGAGGAGAAAGGGAGAGACCCGAACGATCTAGTACGAGCCAAGCTACGCACCTGCCCTGCCCCCACATGTAGGGATGGTGCTGGGGCGGCGAGGGAGTGGGGGAATGGCCGAGACCCGGAGAATTATATCTGAAGGCAAGCCGCGTACCTGCCCCCACATGTACGGATGGTGCTGGGGAGGCGAGGGAGTGGAAGAACGACCGTGACCCAGAAACATCATTCCAAGGCAAGCCGCGTACCTGCCCCCACATGTACGGATGGTGCTGGGGAGCGGCGGCTGCTGCGGGGTAGTACCCCGGTGGTGGCTGCCCCGCCTGGCCGTAGTACGCCTGGCGGGGATCAAGGCACGGCGCACACACGGGGGGGCACAAGGGGGAGCACACGGCGGGTGAGAGGAAGAGAAGGTGGGGGCGGGGTGAGGGAACAGCAATGGACTAGGGGCAGTACCCCGGCGGTGGCTGCCCCGCCCGGCCATAGTATGCCTGGCGGGGATCAAGGCATGGAGCACAAACGCGGGGGCACACGGGGTGGCACACGCCCGGGCACATGCGGGGACACACGTGGGGACACACAAGGGGACACACGCGGGGCACACGCGGGGCCACACGCACGCGCACACAATGGGACGTGATTAGGATGGGGACGCGCACTGCCATGCGTGGACGGATGGGAAAGACTGTTGTGCGAATTGGACTCGCCCGCCGTGGTTTGAATAGACGATGGCACGCGCAGGCCAGCAAGCCGGCAGTGGTTTGACTCGCCCGCCGGCCGCACTTCACCAGGCGCCAACTTGCCAGGCACCACCTTGCCAGGCGCCACCTCGACAGGCGCCACCTCGACAGGCGCCACCTCGACAGGCGCCACCTCGACAGGCGCCACCTCGACAGGCGCCACCTCGACAGGCGCCACCTCGGCAGGCGCCATCTCGACAGGCGCGTCACCGGGATGGCACGGCGTAGAGGGGCATACAAACTAGACAGAGAGGCGAGGTATGACATCCCGCTATGGTTGAACCAACCACAGCTCCTAGCTCAAGAAGTTCGGACAGGCACTGTGAGGCCCTGGCTGAAAACGCGCCGACTGCATGTCTGGACTGCTCTACAAGGGTAGCTTGCTAGGTGCGGCCGTCGAGGGGCACTCAAACTAGACAGAGAGGTGCGGCATGCGGTCCCGATACGGGTAAAACAATCACAGCCTCAAGCTCTAAGGGGTGTGGACCGAAAAAGCGAGCCTCCGGCTCAAAACGCGTCAACTGCAGGCCCTGGACTGCTCTACAATTGTCGATTGCTTGGTGCGGCGAGAGGCGTCTGAAGCTGGTTACCACAGCTGGCGATTGCTAGTGGTGGCTGATTACGACCGGTAACAGTGGTAACCTCTGGCTGGTAACGGCGGGTACCTGCTGGTAACAGCTGGTAACTAGGTAAAGGGACTGGCTACATGGTAAGGTACGTGGCCTCTCGCGGCGCGTTATACTAGCGGATAGATACTGGTTACATGAGTTTGGTTACCCTCATCGAATAGAAAATGGTTACATCGTGTGGTTACCCTCATCGGGGTGACCCAAATGCTTCACCTGGAAAGCCGCTGCCCAGTCGGGGTAGCCTGCCGGCATCTGTTGTTCCTTGCCATACCCTTGCGCTTCCTGCGGTGACAAGTTATTGAATCGGTCGTGAGACAACGCACCGCGACGGAGAAAATATGAGTGTTGAGAAACGCGACGCGGACTACGGGTGTGAGTTGCAGACTTGGAAAGATGGCGGAGGAAGTGGAGAAAACTATAGCACAAAAAGGCACAGTAGATGGCAAGACAAGAGGGTACAAAAAGGATAGTAAAGGCTAAAAAAAATCAGTAATGTTTTTTTTTTCAAAACAAAAAAGAAAGAAAACGGACCCGAAAAGCAGAGAACGCAAAACCGAAGTTTGCGCTACCTTATCGCGTTTGCCGCTACACCTACGTCAGTCGATCCCATAACAGGCGCTGGAGTCGACGACTTCACTTTCGATGACGCCTTTCGAACGATCAGATTCTCCCTTGGCAATAATCCTCGAGCTTCGAAAATTCGTGACGTGACACAACAAGACCACAACAGATCGCTGCGCGGCTCCGTTCAAATGCTATTGAACCCCATCCAAGTCACTGTACACAAAAAACCTGCGCATCACTTTTGCGCGCATTTAAGGTGCTTCGCTACCAATGGATCTCCGCACATGTAGAACAGTGAAGGTTAAGCATGATAAATGTATGCTTTACGTTTGTAATGAGCGTTGATTGCGCGCTAGCGCGAAAGTTTTACAAGTACAAGATTGTTACGATTTTGGACCAGCACGCGATGGCGGCTTGACAGTTCAGACAAAAAAATATCGACTGGTCTGAAAATCAAAGTATGAGTTTGTCTTAAAAACCAGACTTGAAAATATGGAAAATAAAACAACTAAAACCAAGCCTTGAAAACATGTCTGCATTGCGGAGTTCACTCTTCAACGGTGGGAGCTAGACTACGGGGGAGGGCACGGTTGTGTGAGCGATCGTAGCGTTCCTTAGCGTTCTCTAGCACTTGCGCGTTCACAGAGCAATTTGGAAGAGTTTCACTAGGGAAAGTTGCATAACAGAATGATAGCAATAGCAAAGGCAACAATAACTCCATCAGAGCATAGCAACCTAGCAGGCGAGCTAGTCGACCGTAGCACGATCGACAGTCTGCCAGCGTTGCGTAGAGGCACCGCGCCAGCGTTGCAGAAAGACGACCTGCCAACAGAGCAAGTTCGCGGCTTGCCAACGCTATACTATGGCGGTGTGCCAACGCTGTAGAAGTGCGATATGCCAGCGTTGCACGCGCAGGTGACAGTAGCACAGATCTGCACCTACTTCGCAGGTGCGCAGCGACGGTCGAGCATGTTCTCTACCGACGCGCAGGTGCCAGATCGGCCACGTGCCGACGGTTGCATCTGAAGCTCCACGTCGACCTCGGGATACCAGCCCGAGGTCGCCTTCGCCATCATAGCCTCGACGAGCCTCGCGTGCCTCCGCAGAACCTCGTCGATGAGGTTACCTGGTCGACCGGGTCGACCACCCGACGCCCTGGTCGACGACCTCCTTCGTCGACCACCACTCCGTTGAAGACCACCCTGGTCGACGGACCCCTCCGTCACGAGCACGATCTGCTACTGTTGTCGAGCTATCTCCTCGACGCTCCCCCAGAAGTCCCGTGCATAGGTCGACGATCACCTTCGTCGACCACACCCAAGGCAGGTCGACTGACCCCTTCGTCGACCACGCCATCGAAATCTGCCGCCGGCTTCCCGTTATCGGCGGTTTCGCAGCAGTCTTTTGCAGGTCGACCAACTCCGTCGACGTGTACGCGATGGCCTGTACGCGTCGACCTCTGCGGATGGTCGGCTACACCTCCCGCATACCCGACCACAAAGTCGGCTTCGCCCAAGCGAGGGCGGGGTCAACATCCTATTCCCGTCAACATGCATATCCGAAAGTGAAACCATTATGGTCTGAAAAAATAGTCCCTGTTTCTGAGCTTTTTTTTAATGGGACGCAAACATTTCACAAGGGATCCACTAAGAGAATATGTCGTTTCTATATACATGGTTTACAACTTAAAGCTGGTGTTTGGATAAAATTGAATTATCGGAGAAGTTTATGTCTATGTCAAGGTTCGCATTTCCCGACCTTGATCTTCACTTGGTCCGGAATGCACACTCTGGTGGCTTTGACGAGCTTATCGATGCAATCGTAGCCGTTTGTCTTCCTGTAGCACCCTTTGATTCCACGGAAGTACTTGACCTGCAGGCCAGTGCAGCGGTCGCCAGTCCCAACCACGTACGCACGAGTCTTGGGGCACACTCCTTGCATGAAGCTGAACGAGCTCCCTATGCACGCCTGCACTTGCCATTGGGTGCGTATAGAGGGGCAGAGGGAGGGGAAAGAGGGGGAGGGGAGCAAGGCACGGAGTTAGTCAGGTAGGTAGGATGGTAGGTAGGTAGGAAGATAGGTAGGAGGTAGGCACAGGTAGGAAGATAGGTAGGAAGGTTGGTCGGTAGGAAGATAGGTAGGAAGGTAGGTAGGTAGAAAGGTAGGTAGGTAGCTTGGAATGTAGGTAGGTTGGTAGACAGGAAGATAGATAAGTAGGTAGGTAGGTAGTTATGTAGGTAAGTAGGCTGGAAGGTAGGTAGGTAGGTAGGTAGGCAGGTCGGTAAGTAAGTAGTTAGAAAGGTAGGTAGGTTAGAAAGTAAGTAGTTAGGTAGGTAGGTAAGTAGGTAGGTAGGTGCCAAGAGATGCATGGCGGTGGTGTGAAAGAGGGGAGGGAGGCTCAAGGAGGTGACTCGTGCATGCTGGGTGAGAGGCAACACAGACGGCTCTAGTGGCCTGGAGGTGGAGATATGTGTGGAGGTAAGATGTGGAAGGAAGGTGTCGTGGTGTAGAGGGGAGGGGTGGGGCGAGACCCAAGCAACAGTCAGGCATGGCAACAATTTGATGCTGTTAAGCTACACCGATGGAACCAGCATGCCTAGGTGTGAAGCTAGGTGGAAATTAAAGTGCTGAGCTAGAGTCTAGTAGGACTGAAGAAAGTAGAGTTAGGAGGATAGGGGCAGGGAGGAGGGGGGAAATGGTGCAGGGTTGGTGAAGGGAAAGGAGGCGAGAGAGGATGAAGGAAGAGGGCGGGAAAGGGGAAGGGAGGGAGATGGGGGGAAAGAGGGTGGCGCAGGGGAAGGGCGCAAGGAAACGAGCAGAGGGAGACCTCGAAGCCTGTGAGGCTGCCGACGTCCGTCTTGGGCACGAGGCGGCTGCACTTGATGCCGGGGTTGAGGCGGAAGAACTCGAGAGGGGAGAGCGGTGGGGAGGGCACGGAGCGGATCTGGTCACACGTCTCCCCGGCCTGCACCAGATAGAACTGCGAGCACGCCGGGATGAGCAGCGCCGCTGCACTCTCCGCCCGCCGCTCCACACACACCGCCTGGCTGCCCACCAGCTCCCCGCTGCCGGAGCAGTCCAGCCCGGGGTTGAGCACCTGGAAGGCCGCTGCGCAGGGCTCGGTGGGAGTGGGGCAGCCAGCGGTGAGAGAGAAGTAGGTGGCTAACGACTCGCATGTGTCACCCTGGGAGGATGGGAGGAGTGGGGGGAGGGGTAAAGGAGAGGGGGAAGAATGGGGGAGGAGAGCTGAGGATGTGAAGCAGGGACGAAATATCAGGATAAGAGAGAAGGGGACGGGAACAGGCGGAACGGCAAGGCAGGGTTGAGAGCCTGAAATGCTGTTTCAGCAGAAGGGGGGTTGCCAGCGACTCAAAAGTGTTGCCCAGGCGGGAGGACGGTGTGAAATGAGGAAAAGAGGAGAGCAAAGAGGGAGGGACAGGAACCAGGAAAAGGAGAAGGAGCGCAGCAGTGTGAGGGTTGGGGTGGGTACAGATATTGATGGAATGGTCCGGAGGAACAAGGAGGGGCACAGATGAAATGAGGGGGAGAGGTCAAAGACACGAAAGGCTGCAGGCTACAGGCAGCAGCAGCAAGAGGGAGGCAGGAGTAGGGAGGAAGCGAGGGAGGGAAGGGAGGTGAGAATGTAGGGAGGCCGACCTGGGATGTGGTGTAGTAGATGGAGCAAGGTGTGAGGTCGGCTGGCTGGACCACATTCACCACCGTGCCGACAGCGAGAGGAGCACTGCAGGTCAGACCCTGGAGGGGAAAGGGGAGCAGAGTGGGGAGTGGAGGGTGAGGAGATGAAGAATGCAAGGCGTGGTTGGTGGGTGAGGATGAGACGTGTAGAGTGTGGGTAGAGCCTTGTTGGAATGTGAAGAGGAGGCTAAACAAGCAGCAGGAAATCAAGGGCTCGCCAGGTCTGGGTGTGTGACGAGGGCTCACAGGATTCTGAGCTTGTAGCTGGGCGAGAGTGAGGCCGTAGACAGGGTGGATGTCGGCA